TTTCTTTCTTTCTTCGCTCTCTTTCTTCTTTTCTTTCTTTCTTCTTTTCTCCCTGTCATGCAGGCTGGAGTGCAGTGGCACAATCTCCAGTCACAGGGACTAACAAGTATGTACCACTATGTCCTGCTAAATTTTTTTTGTATTTTTAGTAGAGATGGGGTTTCACTATGTTGGTCAGGTTGGTCTTGAACTCCTGACCTCAAATGATTTGCCCGCTGTGTCCTCCCAAAGTGCTGGGATTACAGGTATGAGCCACCATGCTCCACCTGTTTTTAAAGGCAAGGTCTCTGTGGCCAGGCTGGAGTATAGAGTGGGCACGATCATGAGGCTCACTGCAGCCTTGACCTCCTGGGCTCAAGCTGGTCTTTCTCCTCAGCCTTCCAAGTAGCTGGGAGTGCAGCCATACACCACCACTACACCCAGCTAAATTTTTGTATTTTTGTAGAGACAGGTTTTCACGATATTGCTCAGGCTAGTCTTGAACTCCTGGGCTCTATAGTCTGCCCACCTCAGCCACCCAAAGTGCTTGGATTACAGATGTGAGCCACTGTGCCTGGCCTGTAGTTTCTCTTCTTAATCTTGATTTTTGAGATTGTTGATCAGAGATATTTCCTGTTTCTCATGTAGCTATGTGGTGCTATGAATTTTCCTCTCAGCATTTCTTTAGCTTTGTCTCACAAATTTCAATGTTATATTTTTATTTTCATTCAGTTTAATGTATTTTTTTTTGAGACAAAGTCTTGCTCTGTCTCCCAGGCTGGAGTGCAGTGGCATGATCTCAGCTCACTACAGCCTCCAACTCCTGGGTTCAAGCGATTCTCCTGCCTCAGCCTCCCAAGTAGCTAGGACTGCAGGTATGTGCCACCACACCAGGCTAATTTTTTTTTTTTTGTATTTTTAGTAGAGACGGGGTTTCACCATGCTGGACAGGCTGGCAATGTATTTTTTAAAAATGTTTCTTTGAGATTCTACTTTGACCCATGGATTATTTAGAAGTGTGTTTAATATACAAGTATTTGGACATTTTTCTGTTTTTTTTTTGTTGTTGTTGAATTGTAGTTGGAGAATATATGCTGTATGATTTGAGTTCTTTTAAATTTGTTCAGGTTTGTTTTATGGCCCAAGATATGGTCTATCTTGATAGATGTTCCTTTTTTTTTTGTAATTTTTTCGAGACGGAGTTTCACTCTGCCACCTTGGCTGGAGTACAGTGGTATGATCTTGGCTCACTGTAGCCTCCGCCTGCTGACTTCAAGACCTTCTCCTGCCTCAGCCTCCCAAGTAGCTGGGACTACAGGTGCCCACCACCGTGCCCGGCTAATTTTTTGTTACTTTTAGTGGAGATCAGGTTTCATCGTGTTGATTACGCTGGTCTTGAACTCCTGACCTCAGGTGATCCGCCTGCCTTGGCCTCCAGTGTTGGGATTACAGATGTGAGCCACCGCAGCCAGGCAATCTTGATATATGTTTCATTGGCACTTGAAAAAAATGTACAGTATGATATTGGGTAGAGTGTTGTGTCAATGTCAGTTCCATTCTGTTGGTTGATGGTGCTAAGTCCTTCTGTGTCATTGCTGATTTCCTGCCTAGCTGGTCTATCAGTTGTGGAGACAATGTACCACCATATCAGTGTTTGAGCCCTAAAGTCCCTAAGTAGTCTGACTTCTCTCTACCCTTCAGAGTCTTCTTATATTTCTTTAATTTACAATGTCCAGGTTTTTAGTTGTATTTAGAGGAATAGGAAAAAGCATATATACTCCATCTTCCAGGAATTAGAAGTGGTACTTAAATTTTTATTTATTTATTTATTTTTATTTTTATTTATTTATTTTTTGAGTTGGAGTTTTTCTCTTGTTACCCAGGCTGGAGTGCAATGGCGCGATCTCAGCTCACCACAACCTCTGCCTCCTGGGTTCAAGCAATTCTCCTGCCTCAGCCTCCCGAGTAGCTGGGACTACAGGTGCGCCCCACCATGCCCAGCTAATTTTTTTTTTGTATTTTTAGTAGAGACGGGGTTTCACCATGTTGACCAGGATGGTCTCGATCTCTTGACCTCATGATCCACCTGTTTCAGCCTCCCAAAGTGCTGGGATTATAGACGTGAGCCACCGTGCCTGGCCTTAAATTTTTATTTTTATATTTAAAAAAAATGTCCTCAAATAGGCCAGGTGTAGTGGCTCACACCTGTAATTGCAGCACTTTGGGAAGAGGAAAATTCACTTGAACCCAGGAGTTTGAGACCAGCCTGGGCAACATATGACCTCATCTCTACAAAGTAAAAAAATTAGCCTGGCATGCCCTGCAGTTCCAGCTACTTGGGGACTGTGGTGAGAGGATCCCTTGAGCCCAGGAGGTCACACCTGCGTCAAGCTGTGATCATGCCACTGCACTCCAGTGTGGATGACAGAGCAAGAACCTGTCTCAAAAAAAAGTGTCTTATTCTCGTCTTTTCTTACCTGGGTTAGGTCATAAAGCAATTTAAATCACTTGTAGTTTCTATTAAGGAGTCTAACCTCTGCGTTATGACCCTAATTTGAAAACAGTAGGCAGGGCCAGGCTTGGTGGCTCATGCCTGTAATCACAGCACTTTGGGAGACTGAGGCAGGCCAATCACGACGTCAGGAGATGGAGACCATCCTGGCCAACATGGTGAAATACCATCTCTACTAAAAATACAAAAACAGCTCAGCGTGGTGCCTTGTGCCTGTAATCCCAGTTACTTTGGAGGCTGAGGCAGGAGAATCGCTTGAACCTGGGAAGTGGAGGTTGCAGTGAGCTGAAATGGCACCACAGCACTCCAGCCTGATGACAGAGTGAGACTCTGTTTTTCTTTTTTTTTTTAAAAAAAGCTCACGCCTGTAATTCCAGCACTTTGGGAGGCTGAGGTGGGTGGATCATGAGGTCAGAAGTTCGAGACCAGTCTGACCAACATGGTGAAACCCCGTCTTTACTAAAAATATAAAAAATAGCCAGGCATGGTGGTGCATGCCTGTGATCCCAGCCACTTGGGAGGCTGAGGCGGGAGAATCGCTTGAACCTGGGAGGCGGAGGTTGCGGTGAGCTGAGATCGCGCCATTGCACTCCAGCCTGGGTGACAAGAGTGAAACTCCATCTCAAAAAAAAAAAAAAAAGGCAGTAGTGGGAAGCACCTGCAGCCACTCTGGGGAAAGCTTGTTAACCCCAGCACTACAACTTCATTGGCCAGTTAGTGGTTCTCAAATTTTGCTGCTTCTGAAAATCATCTAGAGAACTTGAAGAACTCTTCATACCCAAGTCACTATTTGTATCATGACTGTGGTAAGAGCCAGGCACTAGCATTGTGTGATTTTTTGTTTTGTTTTAATAAATTCCCAAGCGATTTCACTGTGTAATGGGATTTGGGAACCACTGTTCCAGTGTGTCAGTGGAAGTATGTGTAACTAACACTGCAGCTGCAAGAGCTTGGGGAGGTTTTTGTTTGCTTATTTTTCTGTTAACAATTGCAACTCTGTTTATTCCCCTTTTGGTCCCAAATATGGGATCACCTAAGACCAAAAACAGAAGGGAACTTCTACTTCTTTATTCTTGAAAACTAAAACTGTGGGTCCCCTGAATTTTCTGCTATTCTTTGATTTATAAACCAGTGTCAGCGAAGTTCTTTTTTTGTTTAAGTTCCAGACAGTAAATATTTTAGGTTTTGAGGGTTGTTATAATTGCCGTCCCAACTACTTACCTTTGCTTTTATACAGCAAGAGGCAAAGCAAGTGGGCATAGCCATGTTCCTATGATCTTCCCCATCTCTACAAAAGGTAAATTAGCATGGTGGCACATGCTTGTAGTCCCACCTGCTTGTGAGGCTAACGTGGGAGGATTGCTTGAGCTCAGAAGGTCAGGGCTGCAGTGAGCTATGATTGTGACACTGCACTCCAGCCTGGGCAATGAGACCCTGTCTCAAAAACAAAAAATTGGCAACAAAAAAACAGGTCATGGTCAGGATTTGAACCAAGAGTTGAGTTCCCTGACCCCTGTCATAATCATTCAAATGTTTCACTTCAACTACAAAGTAGTCAGTGCCTAGCATATGTAAGAATTGAAGTTATATGTAAAGTTATAAGTGAAGCATTGAAGTTCAGAATCATTTACAGGATTGAAGCCATCTTCTGACACCACAGACCCAGTCTGCCTATATGTGTATTTAGGTTATACTGGAATCTCTAATATATATATCTTGCACAGGGGCTGCTGCTTACCTTCTAGGCTTCATCGTGTGACACTTACCTATTGTTGGGAAACCGGTGTGAGAAGGGATTGGTTGAGCGAGCATAGGCAGAGCCATCCTTACTTGAATCACTTGAATCTACACATTCTTAAAATAAGGTTCTTTCTATGTGTGAAGCAACTAAAATTGATAAATCACCCAACTCCCCTGCCTAGCTCATTTGATGTTAACTGGCTCCATAGCTATACTGTCTAACATGATGCCATTAGCCACAAGTGGCTAAACTTATATTTAAATTAGTTAAACTTAAATACTGTTTAAAATTTAGTCCCTCAGTCACCTTTCAAGTGACATACATGATTAGTGGCTACTGCGTTGGATAGCACAGATGTAGACCTTTTCCATCGACGCAGACAGCTCTCTTGACAGTGCTTCTCTGGAATTATTAAGCCATGAATCTTGGACAGCTCTAACTTTGGAGTATTTAATTTAAAATCACTAACTTTTAACTTCTGTTTTCCTTGTATTCATTTAGCCAAAACTCATTTTATATAATAAATAAATATAATATATGTTTTGGTTTTAGGAAAAAACAAAAATGAGTTTCATGGTATCCAGAAAGTGACTGATTGAGAACTATTGAACTTCCATATTCATTGGAAGCTTTATCATGGGAAGTTAAAATATTGCCTTATATGAAGATTTTATTAAAATGGTATAAACAGCAGAAATTACATTTATTAAGTTATATGTGCTGGGTACTGAGTGCTTTATAGTTGAAGCTCAGGAAAGGTAAGTAAATTCCAAATAAATGTGGCTGGTACTGGTGTTTGAACCCAAACCTGTGTGATGGCTCCAGAACCTTTGTTTTCCCGTTACACTGTGCTGCTTCAAATTTGCTGAAGACTGCGGTAATTATTTTACACGTCTTATCTTAGGAAGCTGTAACTCCCTAAAGATGTTTTACTCATACGCCATGTTCATGTAAATAAGACAAGTCATCAATTTTCCTTAAAATTAGAAATATTTAATACAGGCTTTTTTTCCTTAAGAAATATGTGGAAGAAGAGGAAAATTGTCAGTGATCCTATTATAAGTTGGTAGACCAATATTAATACGATTTCAATTACTTAGGAACACTGAGATTTTATTTATAAAATTATTATGATATTAATATAATTTTTATATTGAAAATTGTTCCTCCCTAATGTTGATGTAATAAATTTTTATATTGAAAATTGTCCATTTGCTGACTGCTAAGAATTACAGGTTTGTTTGAAGGTTATTTTTGCAAGACAGTGCAATAGATTCTGATGTGTTTTGTTAATTTACAAGGCCCTTTTTTCAATTTATACCTTCAAAGTTACATTTAAGGTAACAGAACAAGTTGGTAACAATTAGGAATATTCACACAATCTTTGTTTTGCACATGCAAATAAGGTTGTCTTGTGAAGGTGGTCAATTAAAGAAATTGTCAAATACGATTCCCTTAACTAGATTATTGAACGGAAACAGTTCCCCTCTTTGTAGCAGCAGGGCATAGGGCATTATGTCCATCTCTTTCCGAGAATCCCATTTGTTAATTATGAAGGTCTGTATTTAGGCCAGAATCTAGAATTCCATTTGCTGGCTCTACAATGGACTTGCAGTATTTTCATTAGAGTTTGACACCATGGTACCTCTCTCTGTTTGCAGGAGGCAGATGCTGAGCCCTTACTGTGACACGCTCAGAAGTAATCCACTGCAGTTAACTTGCAGACAGGACCAGAGAGCAGTTGCAGTGTGTAATTTGCAGAAGTTTCCTAAACCTTTACCACAGGAATACCAGGTAAAACTGGTTTGGGGCACAATTTTAGGAATCAGCTTTTTAAAAAGTAGTATCCATTTTAATTAAAAGAGTAAATTCTCTTAAGTTTCTCAATTTGTAAGGCTCTGTTTTCTATAAGTTAGAAATAATGGAATAATGCTTCCATTTCTTTATAACTGATTTCCTAATTGATAGCAGTTAGTTAAAATCTAGCCATGTTTTACAATAATGGTAAGAAGAATTTGCACATTGGATCTATTTTTACCTGTTTATGTTTTCAAATTGTTTCCAAAGTCTTGCTATTTAAATTCCTCTAATTTACACAGAAAAAAGTCTTCAAAGAAAATAACTTAAGTACTGTAATTCAATTAATTAGAAGACTTGGAAGCTCTGCTTTTGAAAAGATTTGATTCCTGGAATCTGAAAGATTAAGGAAATGGTTCCACATATACAGTCTGATTTGATTTGACCTTTACATTTCTTTTTATCTTTTATCTTTTGATGCCTCAGCCTCCCGAGTAGCTGGGATTACAGGTGTGAGCCACCATGCCTGGGTAATTTTTGCATTTTTAGTAGAGATGGTTTCACCATGTTGCCCAGGCTGGTCTCGAACTCCTGGCCTCAAGTGATCACATGCCTCAGCCTCCTAAAGTGCTGGGATTACAGATGTGCACCAACATGTCTGGCTAATTTTTGTATTTCTAGTAGAGACAGGGTTTTGCCATGTTGGCCAGGCTGATCTCGAACTCCTGACCTCAAGTGGTCTACCCGCCTTGGCCTCCCAAAGTGTTGGGATTATGCACATGAGCCACTGTGCCCACCGTGACCTTTATCTTTAAAAACCTCAGCTTTACCTGCCATTTACAAGGAATCTTTTGTCAGAAATGATGTCTCAGAAGCACAGCTGCCGAATTTTTAGCTTCCTACACATATTTATGAGCTCACTGAATGCTTTATACGCCATAAAATAGCAACTGTATTCATAGACATAGTAGTGTTACTCAGTAAGTTGTTGGAAAATGTGACATCTTTAAAAATTTATTCGGTGTATCCAGGGGTGTGAAAACACATACAATTATTTTAATTTTTTAAATGTGTTTTTTTTTTTTTGTTGGGGGAAGATGAATCTTGCTCTGTTGCCTAGGCTGGAGTGCAGTGGCACAATCTTGACTCACTGCAACCTCTGCCTCCCAGGTTCAAGCAATTCTCCTGCCTCAGTTTCTTAAGTAGCTGGAACTACAGGTGTGTGCCAGCATGCCCAGCTAATTTTTTTTTTTTTTAAATACAGATGGGGTTTCACTATATGTTGGCTAGACTGGTCTTGAACTTCTGAACTCAGGTGATCTGGCCGCCTCCATCTCCCAAAGTGCTGGGATTACAGGTGTGATCCACTGCACCCAGCAATAAAATTATTTAAAAAAGAAAGGAACAATAAAATTTGTCTGGTGCCCTGTTCCTTTGGTGTTCAAAGAATTTTATATATATGATCGCATTTATTTTCTCAGATTTTAATTTTTTTATTTTTGTTAGAACAACATATAAACTGTCTCCTAAAAATACTTGAAAAATATATTAAAAATTCATAAACTAAAACAAAAAGAATGTTGTAACTTTATGGATGAGTTCTATGTTTTCTCAATGCAAAACTTTTCTTAGTGTAATTAAAACTATTTCATTCTTTTAAAACATTAGTTTAATTTGCCATTGTCATACATAACTTAGACCAATTTACTTACCTTGATTATTTGTAAAACTAGAGCAACCTTAAAATACTCCTCTAGTGGTATATTACTGTCTTCTTTATTTGGTGCAATTTATGAAGAAAGGTACATTCATATCTTGTGTTATATAGCATTAGAGAGTTGCAAGAAATTGCCTGTGCACTTCCTTTTGTTTACACAGAATTTTTCTTACTTTCTTGTCTTCCCAATAATTTTTTGTAGTACTTTGACGAACTCACTGGAATACCTGCAGAAGATTTGCCATATTATGGTGGATCAGTGGAAATTGCTGACTATTGCCCTTTCAGTCAGGAATTCAGTTGGCATTTAAGTGGTGAATATCAGCGCAACTCAGACTGTAGAATATTGGAAAATCAACCAGGTTAGTCAGCTAGTGAAATGAAGTGTTATGTACATATTAAAATTATATGTTAGCAATATAAAACAATGGATAAGGGCACAGACCCTAGAGCATGACTGTCTGAGTTTGCTTTATAGTTCAGCCGCTATCCATATGTAATAAGTTACCTAATTATTCTCTGCCTGTTTCTTCATCTGTACAATGGAGACAATACTTAGAGCTGTGAGAATCAAATGAATTAACGTAGTAAGTGCTTAGAACTGTGCCTGACGCATAGAAGCGATTATTAGCGTGTGCATGCACACACGCTGTGTTGTGGTCATACCTTGTGTCTGCACGGCACTTTCCATTTGCAGAGCACTTTCATCTTACCATTTTATTCTAAAAACATTATAAGAAACATAAGGAAGATATTACTGTATTTCACAGATAAGTGAACAGGTACTAAGTGATGTAGTTAATTGGTGTCAGTGCAAGATCCTCCAGCACCAGGCTCTTTTTTTTTTTTTCCTTTTTTTTTTTTGAGACGGAGTTTCGCTCTTGTTACCCAGGCTGGAGTGCAATGGCGAGATCTCGGCTCACCGCAACCTCCGCCTCCTGGGTTCAGGCAATTCTCCTGCCTCAGCCTCCTGAGTAGCTGGGATTACAGACACGCGCCACCATGCCCAGCTAATTTTTTGTAGTTTTAGTAGAGACGGGGTTTCACCATGTTGACCAGGATGGTCTCGATCTCTTGACCTTGTGATCCACCCGCCTCGGCCTCCCAAAGTGCTGGGATTACAGGCTTGAGCCACCGCGCCCGGCCACCAGGCTCTTTTTATTAAAACACCTTAGATGAGCTGTTTTTCCTCTTGTGGAGAATGTGCATTTTATGTAAGTTAGAAGCAACAGGTGACTCTTCAGATATCAAAATAATATTCTTGTCTTATGGCCAGTAAGATTTATTACCATATTATTTGTTTTCTCTTAATACATATAAATGAAGAAGACGTCAAAGGAATAAGCAGTATGGCCATTGGGTCTTCTGCAATAATAGTTATAGCTCACACTAATTACCTTTATAAGCAGAAATATTCTCGCATCTGATGTAATAAAGAGCAGTAAGTAGTGTTTCTCTGTGTTCATCAGAAGTTTTAACCTAGTCTGCAAACCCCCACCCTCATTCTATACTTTATTACAGACTAAGGCATTTAAATTCTAAATTTTTGTATTTTTACCTTTTACTCTTAAACTTGGCAGATGTAACTGGATTCCTGCAGTCATTTTTCCTCATCACTAATCTATTTAATAAATGTCCTGGCCAGGTGCAGTGGCTCACGCCCGTAATCCTAGCACTTTGGGAGGCTGAGGCAGTTGAATTGCTTGAGCTTAGGAGTTTGAGGCCAGCCGAGCAACATAGTGAAACTCATCTCTACCCAAAATGCAAAAAATTAGCCAGAGGTGATGGTGCACACCTGTGGTTTCAGCTGTGCAGGAGGACAAGGCCTGAGGATTGCTTGAGCAGCCTGCAAGGCAGAGGTTGCAGTGAGCCTAGATGATGCCACTCTACTCCAGCCTGGGCAACACAGTAAAACCCCATCTCGAATACAAATAAATAAATACATATATACATAGATAAATATTATAATGACTTATGACTGCTCAGCAGTTCCATGTTAAAGAAAAAGAAATGCATAGATCTGTCAGTCATGGATTTGCCAAAGATAAACTATCATGTGTTATTGTTTTAGAGCTGGAGCTGGCAAACTTTTTTTTGTAAAGGACAAGATTATAAGTATTTTGGGCTTTGTGGGTCATAAAGTTTCTGTAGCTTTATGATTTAACTATCTAACTCTGCTGTTACAGTCTGAAAGCAGTTACAGACAATATGTAAATGAATGAGTGTGCCAGGATGTGGCCTGAGGGTTGTAGTTTGCTGAACTCTGTTTTACTATTATTATTTTTTAGAGACAGGGTCTCTGTCATCCAGGTTGGAGTGCAGTGGCATCCCATCCTAGTTCACTGTAACCTGTAACTCTTGGGCTCAAGTGATTCTCTTGCCTCAGACTCCCCAGAGCCAGGACTATAGGCATGCACCTCCACACTTGACTGATTTTGAAAAATTTTTTGTATAGATGGGACTTGCTATGTTACCCAGGCTGGCCTCATCTCCTGGCCTCAAGCAGTCCTCCCTCCTTGGCCTCCCAAAGTGTTGGAATTATTGGCATGAGCCACCACATCCAGCCCTGAACCCCATTTTAGACACTGATCATTAGATTTTTCAAAAACTCTGAAACTCACAAATTCTGTTTTATTCTAATTTGCATTTTCTTCTTAGCTTATATTATTAAGATTTATCAAAACTGACATAAAACATCTTTATGATGTTTCAAAATGGGCTAATGGAACTCTCTGCTTTCCAAAAGAAAACTTACTGTATAGAGCCTAAAGAGATCAAATTATTGCTAGGGTTTAAGAGCTTTGTCCCTTTGTTCATTAGGTATTTAGAGGTCCTTAATTCCACCCTGTACCTCTGCAGCTTTGTGCTTCATGTGAGATTAGATCAGCATGTTGCTAGATTGGTGCAAGGGTAATTGCAGTTTTGCCATTAGCGTAAAAACCACAGTTACTTTTGCACCAACATAATATTTATGGATTTCCAGGAGGTGACACAAGGTGAAAATATAAGAAAGTTCTGCAAATGCTGCAACACCCCCAAAAAGCCTCCATGGTAGAAATCACTTGGCCTCATCCTATCATGGGTCATTTGGAGGGGCCTCCTATTTAGACCACCAGTGAAGATGATTCTTATGTTGGTATCTAGTGATCTAATGATTCTTAGTGCTAGTTCTTCTATTTATTTAGCCTAGAAAACTCCAGACCATTTTATTCCCTTGTTTCTGATATAGTAATTTTCTCCTGTTCATTCCTTTATTGAGAACCTAGTGTGAGTTCGGAATCCTGTGTTTCCTAATTTATTAAATTTAAAATTTCTATGAAACATAAAAATGGAATGCATCAATCAATTTCTTGTTCTTTGAGCCAAAAGTCAATTTTTAGGGAGACTTTTCTTGTTTGCCTCAGAAATTTTTAAGAACTATGGTGCTGAAAAGTATGGACCTCATTCAGTTTGTCTAATTCAGAAATCAGCATTTGTTATGGAAAAGTGTGAGAGGAAGCTGAGCTACCCTGACTGGGGCAGTGGATGTTATCAGGTAAGCTCATATGTTTGTTATTAGTTATACCAAATATTACATAATTATATCTTTTATGGTTTTACATTTTAAATTATATTTTACATATTTTTATGTCATTAATTTACTGATCAATATTTATCTTGTTTATGTAAATATTAGTTTGGATGTTCATGTTTTATGAAAGTATTGTCATTTTTTTGAGAAAAATTGCCTCTATTTAAAAAATATAAATATATAATTGCTATAATGTTCTAGGCATATATTCTGAAGAAATAATGGTAAATATGTAATTTTGTTCTTAAGCAAATATTACTTTGTAATGGAAAAAATGTACAATTTTATTTTAAAATGTCTGAGGACCGCATGGGTTATAGGAATTTGTAAATCAGGCTGGACATGGCGACTCACGTCTGTAATCCCAGCACTTTGGGAGGCCAAGGCAGGAGGATCACTTGAGCCCTGTAGTTCAAGACCATCCTAGGCAACTAAGCGAGACCTTGTCTGTGAAAAAAATAAAGAAAAAAGGATTAAGAAATCAGTTGCTGATTAATAATAGGGTTTTTATTCCCTTTGTAATTAGAAATCCAAAAAGGGCAAACTACAATTTTTTTTTTTTTTTTTGAGACAGGGTCTTGCTCTGTCACCTAGGCTGGAGTGCTGGTCCAGTCACGGCTCATTGTAGTCTCTGTCTCCTGGGCTCAAGTGACCTTCCCCCGTCAGCCTCCTGAGTAGCTGGGGCTACAGGTGTGCACCACACACCCGACTAATTTTTTGATTTTTGGTAGATACTCTATGTTGTCTAGGCTAGTTTAGAACTTCTGGATCAAAGCAATCCTCCTGCCTCGGCTTCCCAAAGTGCTGGGATTATAGACATTTATTTGCACATCTGATATTACATGACTGCATCACCTTATTAAGAACTTATAAAGATAAAGCCATTCTGTGACTTAGGACCATCCAACTTAATGAATATTCTGTACCCTACAAATGCATGTCAGGGAGGAGAGTGTAAACCTGAGAAATGAAGAATAAGCATTCCTTGTACCATTTCAGCTGCAAGAGCTAAAAGGACTTTTGTAACTGGAAATTTAATTCTTGTCATTAAACTTACTTATAAACTTTTTTTGGCAACTGCCCTCTTTTTTGGAGACAGGGTTTTGCTCTGTCGCCCAGGCTAGAGGCAATGGCACGATCATGGCTCACTGCAGCCGCGAACTCCCAGGCTCAGGTGATTATCCCACCTGAGCCATCCGAGTAGCTGGGACTACAGGCGCACACCACCACAACTGGCTAATTTTTCTTGTTTTGTTGTAGAGACAGAGTTTTTCCATACTACTCAGGCTGCTCTTGAACTGCTTGGCTCATGAGATTCACCTGCCTCAGCCTCCCAAAGTGTTGGGAGTACAGACATGACCCACTTTGCCTGACCTGGTCATAGTACTACCAAGATACATATCACATGCCATACAATTTATGTAAAACTAACTTTTCTTTTCTTTGTTGTCTTTTGAGACAGGGTCTCACTCTGTCACCCAGGCTGGAGTGCAGTGGCATGATCTCAGCTCACTGCAACCTCCACCTCCTGGATTCCAGTGATTCTTGTGCCTCAGCCTCCTGCGCAGCTGGAATCACAGGCCTGCGCAGCCACATCCAGCTAATTTTTGTATTGTTAGTAGAGACAGCGTTTCTCCATGTTGTTCAGGCTGGTCTCAAACTCCTGGCCTCAGCTGATCCTCCTGCCTCTGTTAGCAGTTCAAGAGCAGCCTGGCCAACTTGTTGAAACCCCTCATCTACTAAAAATACAAAAATTAGCCGAGTGTGGTGGCGGGTGCCTGTAATCTCAGCTATGTAGGAGGCTGAGGCATGAACGTCACTTGAACCCAGAAGGTGGAGGTTGCAGTGAGCTGAGATGATGCCACTGCACTCCATCTTGGGTGACAGAGTAGGACTCCATCTAAAAAAAGTGAAGTTACTGGAAGCCTATCTGAAGCTCTGAGTATGCACATAGGGCTTGTTGACTGTGGTCTTCACTGTAGGGCTCTTTCCTTACAAAGCCTTTGATATTTGTGTCTTGAGGGTCTTCCCTTTTGACCGGTCAGACTTGTCAGAGAAACTGCCAACACCCACCTTGAATTGATATGCGTGGCTGTGAGAGCTCTGGGGACGAAGTAGATTTTGAATGCTGAGTCGTCCCCACGTCTAACCTGTAAACTTAGAGTCCGTATTTTCACGATGGCATCCCCACTCTCACCTGTACTTGCTTTCCCCCAGAACAGAAAAACTCTGTTTTACCCTTTCCAAAAAAAACTCCAGTATTTTGTGTTGCTATAAAGGACTATCAGGCTGGTTAATTTATAAAGAAAAGAGGTTTATTTTGACTTAAGGTTCTGCAGACTACGAGACACATAGTGCTGGCATTGGCTTCTGGTGACAGCCTCAGTAAGCTTATAATCATGGCAGAAGGCAGAGTGGGAGCAGGCTTGTCACATAGAGAGGAAACGAGAGAGGAGGGAGGTCCCGATCTCTTTCACAACCAGATCTCCGGGGAAGTTATTACTGTGGGGAGGGCACTAAGCTATTCATGAGGGATCTGTCCCCATGACCCAAAAACCTCCCACTAGCCCACACCTCCAGCATTGGGAATCACATTTCAACAGAAAATTTGGAGTGGACAAATTTCCAAACTGTATCAGCTGGGTTTGGAAAAATCAGAGGTTTAGCTGCTTGTAGTGAGGGAGAGGAATGCTGGGGTCTGTTTCCGAAATAGACGTCCATCCTTTTAATTGTAGCTCTCACGTCATGGTACCGGGAGCCGGCAGTGCCGAGCCGCCTTTGTGTTCTGCAGTGCAAAGCAGGTTTCTTCTTGGCTTTTCCTGCGGCTGGAGTTTGACTCAGCTGTCTTGAGTCTGTTTTGTCTGCTACTACTTGCACTTCTGCCCTCCCGCCCACACTTAATTCCCAGAATTCCACAATGATAATACTTCCACTTCAGAGAGTTTTCCTCTTGTCCGTTCAATGCTCTCATATAATTCTCATCTCTAGGCCGGACGCAGTGGCTCATGCCTGTAATCCCAGCACTTTGGAAGGCCAAGGCGGGTGGATCACCTTAGGTCAGGACTTTCAAGGCCAGCCTGGTCAACATGGTGAAACCCCGTCTCTACTAAAAATACAAAAAATTAGCTGGGCATGGTGGCGCGTGCCTGTAATCCCAGCTACTCGGGAGGCTGAGGCAGGAGAACTGCTTGAGCCCAGGAGGCGGAGGTTGCAGTGAGCTGAGATGGCGTCATTGCATTCCAGCCTGGGTGACAGAGCAAGACTTTATCTCAAAATAAATAAATAATTACAGTAATTTTCTTCTCTAAGCTATGTACAGTCTGCTTCCCAGCCTGTAACATCTACCTTGCAGTGATCCAAATCCTGTGTACATCCTCAGATATAAATGCTCTCTTTCATGAATCTTTCTAACATTTATTCTTGTTTCTACCATTTATTGACTCTTAATTATAAATAGTCTGGTACTGTTCATTTTTTCCTTTTTCTTCTAATTTCAAAATACTATTAATATTTTAGAAAAAAAATTATTTTTATTATGTTTTTTTTTGAGATGGAGTCTCTGGCTCCCAGGATGGAGTGCAGCGGTAGGATCTTGGCTCACTGCCACTTCTGCCTCCTGGGTTCAGGCGATTCTCATGCCTCAGCCACTTGAGTAGCTGGGACTACAGGCGCCCATCATCATGCCTGGAGAATTTTTGTATTTTTAGAGATGGGATTTCAGCAGGTTGGCCAGGGTGGTCCTGAACTCCTGAACTCAAGTGATCTGCCCACCTAGGCCTCCCAAGTGCTGGGATTATAGGCCTGAGCCACTGTGCCTGGCTGGAAAATAACATTTATATCCTACTCATCTTTCCTCAATTGAAGCTGCTAGAGGGCAGGAACTGTACCATGTACTTTTTTGGTATCCATTTCAGTAACAAGCACAGTGCTCAGTCAGGTCTCACTTTAAAGAATGACGATGTTGCACTGTGGCTGTGGTGATGCTTACCTGATGTAGATCATTGAATGACAGACTCATAGAAGAGGTCACACTTCATTGTTTGTTTTTGTGATAGTTTAAAACAAATTTTCAAAAGAGTAATACATTTCAACTGATGGTAGAGTTATTTCAGAATGACTCCATTTCAACTTAACTGATGATAGAGTTAATTCAAAATGACTTCAAATGTACTTTTGAACTCTTCTTTTGTAATTATGTTTAGAAGTAGTTTAATAGTCACCTAAGGAAATCAGTCTTAGTAATTTTGCATCATGCCTTCTATTAACCAGTTTAGTCAACCACCTTTACCAGACTTGGTTCTGGGCAACTTTGGGCTATTTCCAAAAATTACGTCTACTTGCCAAGTAAAAATTTGCTACCATCAGACAGGTTCAGAAGTATGCACTGACTTTGAAGGTAGTTCCAAGAGATAAGTTTCAGAAAATTTAAAGTGAAGTAGCATAATTGAATGTGAAGTCTTTGTAGGAAACAACTTTGAGGGTTTTGTTAAAATAAATTTTTGGCAGGGTGGAGTGGCTCATGCCTGTAATCCCAACACTTCGGGAGGCTCAGGCGTGCGGATCACCTGAGGAGTTCAAGACCAACCTGGCCAACACGGTGAAACCCTGTCTCTGCTAAAAATAGAAAAATTAGCTGGCTGTGGTGGCACATACCTGTAGTCCCAGCTACTTACGAGGTTGAGGCACAGGAATTGCTTGAACCCAGGAGGCAGAGGTTGCAGTGAGTCAAGATGACGCCACTGAACTCCAGCCTGGGCAACAGAGTGAGACTTGGTCTCAAAAAAAAAATTAAATTTAAATTAAAAAAAATTACTATTTCTAAATGTTTTAATAGTTAGCATTAATGTGTCTGCGTTTGGTTTTAAAAACTGATTTCATTAGCTGCCACTTGCAGATGAGGTAAAAGTCTTGCCTTTAAAAATAAAGTCTGGATAAAATTACCGTGACTGAGCAGACGATTTGGGGTGGGGAGAGAATGAAGAACTTTCACTGTTTTGCATTTCTATGCTGTATTCTTGTTT